GCGCCCATTTTGCACGAGAAAATTTGCACGTTCGATATCACCGTTACCTCCTGGACTTATTTTGTAACTTCCGGCTTCCGTATCGTTATGCACTTGTAACTAAACCCAAACGGACACGATTCAACAGCGTACATTATAAAATTCAGCGGAGATCTGCTTGTTCGCAACGTTTCACGACGGCGGCGAAGGAAGAAAAACCCGGTTTGTTCACTCGCGGTAATCTTAAAAACTCGATCATTTTTTTTAAATAACCAAACACAGCACTAATAAACACACGCGAAAGTATTGAAAAGGTTTTCAGGTGTCCAAAATGCACCAGCTAAAGGACTAAGTCTTATTCCATTAAATTTTCAATAAACATCTCGGAAAATAAAGCAGCTGCAAATTCAAAACACGTTAGTTTCAATGCACGGCCTACCTCGATCGACCAATTGAAACATCCTTTCCCAGCAAGACTCAAACATGTGTATGAACCTGGGTCGAGCAAAAGTCATATTCTACCGAAAATATGTGGAATACGGTTTTGTATTCCACATTTTTCCAACAGTTTGTCCGCACGTTCGAAAGCAATTTTATACCTCATTAGTACAATAATACATTATTAATGAAACTTAAAACTAAGCCTTAATACAATTAAAGCGTAGCACACGGATCACACGCGACTGAAAATTTACAAAAAAATAATACTACACAACGCCCTACAACGCATCGAAATCTAATCGACCGAGTGTCAAACCTGCATGTTCGATGGCGGCGATCACGACATCACACACGTCAAATTTTACAAACCGATCAAACGCGCGCCGGGAAGCAAACGAAAATCATGATACAAACCTCAACTGGAACACACTCATCAAATCAATACATGTATGTATCCCGACCACATTGGGGAAACGCTCCCACAGCTGCGGCACGTCGGAAGCGCTAGGCTCCTACAGTTGTGTACCGAGTCTCCATACACAACTACAGGAACCCAACGCCTCCAACGCACCACAACTATAGTAGCGTTTACCCTACTGTCCGGGAGCGTATTCCAGAAGCATATTTTCCTCCAACCAAATTCACAGCTGCACAGCAACTTGGTAGATCAAACCTTTTTTCCTCTCGGCACGCACACCTTTTCCAGCACACACCACAGCACCGATCAATCAGATCGGCTCCCCTAACACAGCATCGACAAATCTTCACCTCACGCCACCCTCACAAAGCGACATGAAAACCATATTTTTTTTTCGTTCGACTCCAACCGCACAATCACATATGATAAACTTCTCATCCATATAACTTCATTTCTCCCGACTGGCATGCTCATCACCGATGAGCCACACACACTAAGATTTTGTTTCCGTGTTCGGTAAATTTTACCGAAATCAGAAAAGCTGAATGTTCGGTAAAACTTTAACCTTCATTTTAAAGGCTATTGAATTTGAAAATAATATCAAAACATGTTCAACCTTGTTTAAATGAGCAATTCTTGTCATTTTAGTGAAGATTTAGTTTCAAAGTAGCTGAAAAGCAATTGAATTGAATTGCATAAATTTTACCGAAAAGTTCAGCTGTTCAAATTTCAGTAAAAATTACCGAAGTCGGCGATAATTTCTAAGTGTGCAGACCAAGCTCAAACAAGAGCATTTTATTCCATTTTCCCTTCAAACCACTCCGTGCACAAAAACAATGCTTATCGCAATAACCCAACAATAGATAAGCGCGATCGAGTCACACCGGCAACAAAGAGAAGCAAGAGCACACCAAGCACCCAAGCAACAGGGGGAAAACAGCTGCACAAATCTTTCCAAATCAAATCACCGCGCCCGGGACACAAAACCAACAAAATGCGAGCACCGAAAAACTCCACGCCACAAAGACAGGCTGGACTAAAATAATTTTTTTTTTTTTTGTTTATTAATTTATTTGATAAGGCTCAACCGAATTAACTTTACAGAGCCGAGGATTCTTGGTCTCTATACAATACATCTTAAAACTATAGTCAAAAGGTACAACACAATAAACACTTTATCTTCCGCTATCCAAAAAGCCTCCTCCATCAGAACTGGAGCCGCTTCCAGTAGTTTCATTGTATGGCAAATTGTTGTACGCCAACGAGGGTCAGAGCGCGTCCATTGCAGCCATGGACGCAAAACGTAGTCAGCACTCACACACTCATCACGAAACGGTTGCTTTCCAAAGTCGACGACGCATCGACCGAAAGAACTGCTGATGAAGAACAATGAGGAGGACCACACAATGGTTGCTGCCGAGAAAACAGACGATCGCGTAGCACACATCAAGAGTGGCTTGCTTTTGTCGACAGCCGAGTGAACACTGAGGACTAAAATAATAAATAAAACAAAATAAAGGCATTAGCGGCGCCGGTGGTGTAGGGGTAAGCGAGATTACCTCTAACCCAATTTGAGTAAACGGAACGCAAATATGAGGCAAAGTCAACGACCATGTGTCTAATGAAGTTAAAGAATATTTCGAAGACACATTGATTAATTCTACATCATGTAAAGTTATGTTGAAAATATCGTTCCTTTCTGCCGGCGCCGGTGGTGTAGTGGTAAGCGTGACTGCTTTCTAACACCCCAATGGGTCTGGGTTCAATCCCAGCCGAGGTCGGTGGGATTTTTCTGAGGCATAAAAATCTCTGGTCACGTCTTCCTTCGGAAGGGAAGTAAAGCTGTTGGTCCCGGCCCATGTGTGTTGAATGGGTGCGATATCCTACGCAGGTGTGGAAGCTGCCTTCCTGCACATTCGATTGCCGTCAATGGATGGCAATCGATGTCCGTCGGTGATTGGCACTAGATTGCAAAACAGAGACCGACGTTAAATGAAAAAAAAAAATATTTCCTTTCTATTAATATTAATTTTTGGAATAAACATCACTGTTACGGTTACCCAGTGAGTGGCAATGATAAGAGGGAAAAGGATTAATATGTTTTAACAGAAGGTTAATCTTTTTGTCCTTAAAAATCAACCGGGCAAGTAGGCCTATTAAGCATAACCCGCACTTAGTATTTCTTAATCTAGTTCAGTTTAGCACCAAACGGAATGTTATTATTACTGATGGCCTCCAAATTTATTTACCTTTCCGTACGTCCCGTTTGATTTGAAAACGAAAAACCAATCGTTGAGATATTGTCAAAAGTCCAACACTGCTTCTTGACGTCAAACTCGGCCTACGGATTTTAAACTCGGCCTAACGCATTGAAACGCAATTGAAACGCCAATGAATTCACTTCGGCCTATCGGATGAAGATAAAAATTGATTCGGTTGGAGCGCTTCTTTTGTTTTTAGGAATAATGGGTGCAAACCTTCATACCACGCGTTCTCATTGACTTTGTTCGGTAGCTTATTGACTAAAGTATCGTACCAAATGCATAATTGACTTGTTAACTCTGAAATCATGGATTTACTTGAAGTTTTCTGCTCGATAGACCCAAAATGGGCGATTAGGCCGAAGTAGTTCTCTACCCTACCCTCTTTTGAACAGCAATAACACACTGTGAAACTCTCCAACACCCTTCCACCAGTGATGATTACTAGAGGCGCACAGGAATTATAGTCATTAGGTATAGTTCATTTTACGCGATGACAACAGTTTGCCGGACATAACTGATAATATTGTTGTCAATTCTCTCAGCGGATAGGTAGCTAGCCTCAGTGTTCACTCGGCTGTCGACAGAAGCAGACCACTATCAATGTGTGTCACGCGATCGTCTGTTTACTCGGCAGCAACCATTGTGTGGTCCTCCTCATTGTTCTTCATCAGCAGTTCTTTCGGTCGATGCGTCGTCGACTTTGCAAAGCAACCGTTTCGTGATGAATGTGTGAGTGCTGACCACGTTTTGCGTCCATTGCTACAATGGAAGCGCTCTGACCCTCGTTGGCGAATCTGCCATAGAAGTAAACCACTGGAAGCGGCTCCCGTTCTGGAAGAGGAGGCTTATTGGATAGCGGAAGATAAAATGTTTATTGTGTTGTACCTTTTGACTATAGTTTTAAGATGTATTGTATAGTGAACAAGAATCCTCGGCTCTGTAAAGTTAATTCGGTTGAGCCTTATCAAATAAATTAATAATAATAATAGGTAGCTAGCCTCCTGAAAAATTTCATTCATGAATTGAAAAATCAGTTGATCGAGTATTTTTTCCCTAGAACCTATGAACTGAATCATATTTCAATCAATTTGCAAAACATTGCATTACTTCCCACAGTGCATTTTAGCAATTCGTAGCTTGTAGCAATTTTGTAACCACTACAAATAATGTTTGCATTAGTTGGTCATGTTGTTTATTGCGTCAACAGCTGTCGATCAGCTGCATGCATACATGACGAATGTACACATATGTAGTTTTATTTGGGGCTTGTCACGGTCACAGCGCTTCAGAGGAAATTTGAACACCACTAAAAACACAAATGTTTAGTAAGTTTCATCTAGATGAGATGGGTAAGACATAGGTTAAAGAATTTAGGAAAACTGGTTGCGAATCCACCGAGATCCAGCTGGTTGGTCATTTAAGACCGAGTGATTCATGAACCTGGTATTTGGAGTTAAAGGCGTTTGGTTGGATTCCTGTAAACTAGGGGAAATGGATGTAATGTCGGCCTAAATGCCCCTAATTTGGGCCCATACATAAATTCACCAATCGACTAAATTTTCAATAGCGACCAAAAATATCCATTAGTATCGTCCCGATGACGCGTTCATCTAGATAAAATTGATAGATAGCCGATTTGGATCCATAGGCCAACATTAGAGCCATTTCCCCTACATCTGTTTTTATGAAAATCGACCAAATATTTTTCTGTGTAGAGTTAAAAAAAATTCTAGCCATAATTTATTTGTTCTTCTGGTCACTCTAAAGTTCTGACAAAACTCGATTCTGGCCGCTCGTGTGACTGTGTAGTGGTGTGCCAGAATTTTTCCACCGCCCCAAGCAACCCCCCACGCCATAGCGTCGAGCGGAAAAGCGACTCCGTGCAAGTGAAGATATGTACCTACGTATCTGAAAAGTGCCCACCTCGTGCTCGTTGTGTTCGGTTCCGTTCGTTCAGTATCAATCCAGCTTCACTCCTTGCTTGACGCGCCGATCCAGGCTCTCTTTGGTTGATAATTAGTGGTATACTCGCCCTGTGCGCGTGGCAGCTGTAATAGCTTTTTCGGTTTTCCCTTGGTATATCGTTGCCAGATTGCAAAAAAACTCATTTGTGATTGCGTTAGCGAAACTTTCCCCAAGCGTTGTTATTCCCTGCGTTCGCGGTTTGTTCACGTCATGGTAAATTTACATCGTAATCGTAGCGCCCGCAAGGAGTTTTAAAGTTCAAATCGAACCATGCAGCATCAGCTGGATGCCTACGTTGAGGAGTTTTTCTCGAACGATAAAGTGAAATCCCTGCAGAGAAAGCTCGTTGGTGATATTGCATAGTAATGTAAAAAGTTGAAAAATACGGCATTGGAGTGTACGACACAGTGCATTGTAGTGCAGAAATTGCAACGCTTTGAATGTGTTGGTGTTGCGCTTTACCGAACGAAAGAAGAGAGTGAAAATTCAGATCGTTCGAACACCTAGAGAAGCAGTTAAAAATATCAAAGGTAATAAAAATCTCAGGGAAGTGGTTCTTCTTAGTCATACTACAAATATTAGGGGAAAGTCGCATACTCATTGGATTGCTGCATAACAGAAAAAATAGAAAAAGCATGGTTTGTGAATGAATAATGTGAATCTAGTCTAGTGTTAGTGCTTTAGTGTCGTGTTCGGCAGAAGAGGTGCACACATGCACGTTCACGCACTGAGCTGTTGTGCTATTTCGCTATTTTCACAGAGCAAAAGCGATGAGGCACGAAACGACCGAATGTTCACGTGGTTTGTTTTGTTCTTGCTTCACACATCTTTCCGAACGTAGGTAGAACAGGGTAGAACCTTTGCGCTGGATGTGCTGCACAGTTCCGAGTGAGAAGAGACATCAACAGTGATGTTCGGAAAAGTTTACACATGTGAACGAGGAAAAACAATGTTGTTAGACGCATGAGCTGGACTAGACTGGAGAAGCGGTCGGTGTAGTGCCTTGTGATAATCAGTATGCAAAGTAAAGTGCTCAAGAAAATATAAAGCGATTGAATTGAAAATAGGTCTATGGATGCTTGCAACGGAACGGAGACAGCGACAGAGGAACATGTTTATAGCAGGCAGAAGTTAATTGATATGCTAACGAATTCATAGCTTTTAACATATACTTGAGACACGAAGTATATTGATTTAATTTAAAGGGTAGTATATATTAAAACTCATACATTTAGCTGCTCTATTATATGACTACAGACTTATTTTCTTGCTATGAATACCGTCAGACTAGTCTTATTTAAAAAAAAATGTATGTATCTTTACTGTCTACTATTAATCATACCTAGAACATAGAACAAAGTAAATCTTGAAAAGCGAGTATTTTGTTCTCTTTTGACGTGGTTACTTTGAAAACTCATGGAACAAGAGTGTTAAAATTGAGTGTTTATAAACAGTTCCTTACCGTTTTTGGCAACACATGATTATTATCTTTATTGCTTTTCTATAAAATCCATCCATATCATGAATAATTGTCCAGATTGCTCTACAAATAAATGATATTTTTGGATATTAAGTGACAAAAGCTATTTTCAATCTATTTCACACAAAACTATGCTGTCCATAAATGCATAGCAGTTATGCTTTTATGGGCAGTATGTAATGTATTAATTAATGAGCGAGGGGGAACGGGCTCGGTGTTATGGTCAGCATCATGCCACTCACGTTAAAGGTCACGAGTTCAATTATCATCTTCAGACAACTTACCAATGACCTAAAATGTGAAGTGACTTTAATAATAATAATTATAATAATAACCATGTTAAATCTTATGTTTCCTTGAGATATTATTTTTTGGTAGCATGTTGCATTAAAAAAATGCTCCGAAAATCAGTTATAATTATACAGGTTATGGTTGTTTGAAATTTTCCAGTGAACACAATTAAAAACGTTTGTAAACCTCATATTTCATATTTTATGATCAACTTTTAAACATGAAAATAATAATTAATATTATTTTAGGTGTAGGAATAAGTACCACTACTGCACTAGACTGATGCAAAATTTGAAATTTTCGCTCCACAGTGCTCAAACGGTGTCAAATCAGGTCCTGATTAGCCTCCCAAAATGTAATTTGGTAAGAAACTGACTTGGCACAAACTATTCGAAGTTTATTTGGAAATTACTATGGGAAAACCAAACTTCTTGTTCATTGTCCATTTTCCATATTGCTTTTTCGAACTTTTTCTATAACTATTCTTACGGGAAATTTTCTAAGCTACAACTTTGCGGAATATCGTTTTTAAATCAAATGTCAAATTAAATTGTTATTAATTGTTTAAGAGATTGCTAATCTTATGGCATGATCGAGCAGCTGTTCTGTGGGCAACACTGTATTCTACAGTGTGACATAGTAGCCATGATATTTGTGCTCTATTCTTCGCACCAGAAACACCAATGTTGCCTGCCGAACAGTAGAATGAGCATGATCATACGACATTAGTGACTTGATTCATTAATAACTTTTGTTCCTTACATTTGATTGAAAAGTAATTTTCAACAAAGTTGTAGCTGAGAAAATTTGCTACAGTCACTGCTATAATTTTTAAAACCAAAGGTTGTGCCAAGTCAGTTTCTTACTAAAGAAGTTCAAATTTTGGGAGGCTAAGCAGGACCCAATTTGGAACCTTTCAAGCTCTGTGGAGCGAAAATTTCAAATTTTGCATCAGTCTAATGGGCACCCTAAGCAGATTGATCATGTTTATGGAAAACATAAGTGTGTTCTGGGTATCTCCTTAGACTGAATGTTATTTTAAATTGCGTCCCTTGATACCAATCACAAATATTAACATAGAAATAGCATAGAGTAGAGTGCTACTTCATCGTTATTGCCTACATACCTTCTATCGAGTAGAAAACATCAATAATATCAAAGATTTCACCGTTCTCAAAACATTAATACGTTTATTCCGAAACTTTAGTTCAAAAGCTTCAATACAAAGCTTATTATAACGTCTAGTACGAATAGTTACACTAATTGTTCTCAAAAACAAAAGAAGCACTCCTATAAAAATTTCCTGCTTTCATACGTATGACGTTTCAACGAGTTTGAAAGAAACTGAAACTTGTAGGATGAATTTGGAATCACGAAGCAATGTTATATTTAACAAAATATAAACAACTTGTGATTGTATATCAAATCTAACGGTATAAATCCAAAAGTCGTATTTAGTAGAAATATTCAATTGTTATGTTCAAATTCATTTGTAAAAGAGAAGGAAAGTACAAGTTGTAGTAGGACGGAAATTATTATTTTTTTTTATTTAAAACCAAAAATGCTTTCTTATTGTACATTCAAGTCTTTTTTATACGAATTTTTGCGTCGTGTAATTAAACGGGTTTTTTTTAAAGTCGTTTGCACAATATACAATTTACATGATACGTTTTAACGATTCCTCGGAAATGATACAACTTATCGAACTAACTCTAATCATATTATCCCTTCTGAGTCATGGATAATACTATGTCATGCTTAAAAAAAAATCACAATTTTTGGGTTTAATACATACATTTAAAAAAAATGAGTATATGAACCTCGCATGCTAATATCAAAACTGGCATCAAAATTGAAGCGTTTAAAATATTGAAGCATGTGAATAATCAAAATCTTGGTAGGTTTTTTTTTTACACGGAAAAAACCTGAGTGTATTTTCTTTGGCAGCAACCACCTAAAGGACGGAAAACTCCCATAGTTTAAAACAAAATTACCAATAAACCTGCTTGGTCAGGAGCAATAAACTTTTGAAAATAAACAATAGACAAGTGGAAAGTAGCAATGAAAATAAAAATTCACCGGTAAAAACGCGAAAATAAGTAACAATAAATTTAAAAGTTGAAACAGAAAGTTCAAAAATAGCAATAGAAAACATATGTTTGAGCAATAAAAAACTTCGAATGATCCATAAATAATTGATGAATTCTCTATTAAAATAATAAACAAAAACTGAAGATGATGTAACTTTTGAAGATATTTGAAGTTTTTTTTTTGTGGACAACCCCGCAGCATGAGCATAAGCATGACTGACCATCTGCGGATACTACTCCGTTATTGCCAGATTAGCTGTAATTACACAGAGAACCAACTTATGATGCTTGCACAGTTCGAAAAAGTAGTGAAATTTTATGTTCAATATGATACACATAAATGGAGCGTCGCATATCATACAAGTCTACATTGTAAATCGTGTAAAGTTCTGAGACATTTCATGAAATGTTGCAAATATTGTATACAAAAGAAATGAAACACAAGTTTACGTGAATAAATGTGATGTAACATTTAAAATTCAGAATTTTCTGCTGTGTGGGACACACAATCATCCTGAATGTGAAAAAAAACTAGTGATTTAAAATTATACAATGCAGGTCAATAAAACATTTCGTAGGAATGTGTTGACATGATACTCGCTTTGTTGGAAGCCGAAGAGTTCTCTGCACTTCCACGAGAAATCACTGGGATGTTGGATAAACGGGTTGGGATTGTAGCAAGGTTCGTTTTGGCTAACGGTACGCTGAAGTATAGAACAATCGAAACTTAGACCTTTGTTTCGTTAGCGCTCAGGACACTGCTCCAGTTATCTCCACGGCACCTTATCCACAAGTTCCTAATCATCCTCTTTTGGTTGTCATTGTCCAAGATAGTCACGTTCGGGATTTTGAAGACATTTCCACAAACGTGTCATACGATTTTCGGAAAGCTGATCATAGTAGTATCAGCGACGTGCTGTCTAGTATAGACTGGGGAAGCGTCCTGGACTCTGATAACGTTGAAACCGCTGCGCAAACTTTTTCACATGTCTTGGCGTATGTCATTGACAGACACGTTCCAAAGAGAGTTCACCGAAAAGGGTCACACCTTCCTTGGCAGACGCTCAATTGCGAAAGTTGAAATCGACCAAGCGAGCGGCACTAAGAAAATTCACCAAGTATCGTACGCTGTCGCTGAAACATCATTACGTTAGGCTCAATCATGAGTTCAAGCGAGTTAGCCATCGATGCTATTCGCGATATCAACGTGGGATTCAGCGTACACTCAAGTCACACCCGAAGTCCTTCTGGAATAACGTTAACGAGCAGCGCAAAGAGTCTGAGCTACCATCGTCAATGATGTTCAACGGAGAAGTTGCTTCCACCTCTCAGGAGATCTGTCGCTTGTTTTCAGACAAGTTAGCCAGCGTATTCTCTGATGAAATATTAACCGACGACCACGTTACCCTAGCAGCTAGTAATGTACCACTCTCCGGTCAAGCGTTGGGTGCAATTGACATCGACGTTGAGATGATTTTCACTGCCGCACAACAACTTAAGTCGTCCTTACCCAGGACCCGATGGTGTCCTATCAGTATTTTTGAAGAAGCATATTGCCAGCTTGCTGACACCGTTGCAGCATCTATTCCGCATGTCCATCTCGAGTGGTATATTTCCATCTTGTTGTAAATTTGCACATATGTTTCCTGTTCACAAAAAGGGAAACAAA